ATATAAAGGTCACCATTACGTGTTCTCTGTTTATTTGGACTTTTATGTTATAGTTCTTGTTTGCTGTTTCCTGTGTTGGGATTTGTAGTCCTTCGTACTTTTATTAGTGATTCGGTTACCGTGTATTGTGTTCCCTGTAACGTGTTATCTCGTTAGTCTGTCTGTATTAATATGTTTCTTGGTCAGTTGTTAGACGTATGTGTTCCGGTTCCCGGTGTTACCTGTTCCTTGATCTGGTTTTGCTCTTCTTATTAAAAATCCCATGTCTCCTCCTGATCTTTCTCCGCCAGGGTGATCGTTCCCTCTGGGAACACATTTGTGAGTTTCTCCTTTCACACACCCTTCCTGGACAATACTCTTATCGCTCCTTACTGCTCTGGACTCAGTGACCCACTTCAAACTCAGCTTTGCTGTTCCTCTTGGGAACGAGCTCTTCAGCTGAGCAGATCCGCTTCTCTGTGGATGAGGATAGAGTCTGGTCCAGAGACCTCATAGGTCTGTCTTGGTCTCCAGCTCACGGGCCTCTTTTGTGCTCCTTTACTCCTTCACTCTCCTGGACTCTTCTGTTTATTCAGCATCTGTGGCTCTGTTACATGTTCCCTGATTGTTTGGACTTTCAGTCACATTTAAATGATCTTGGACACTTTCAAGATCTTCCTGATTACTAGAAAGCTGAAGTCAGGTGAGTTTGATCAGGGTTGGAACTAAACTCTGCAGGAAAGTGGATATGGAGTAAGCTGACCAGACGGGCCACTTCTGGCGACACGTTTGGCACAGGATTTCTAAATTGTCTAAAACAGTGGTTCCCAAACCTGTCCTGGAGGCCCCCCTGCGCTGCACCTTTTGTATGTCTCCCTTATCTAACACACCTGATTCCACTCATCAGCTCATTAGTAGAGACTGCAAGAACTAAATTGGGTGTCTGATTAGGGAGACATACAAAATGTGCAAGGCAGGGGGTCCTCCAGGACAGGTTTAGGAACCACTGGTCTGTATTGTTAAAAGCGCTATATAAATAAAGGTGACTTGACTTGACTTGACTGGTCTAAAATAACCAGGTGTTGGAAATGTTTTTTCCCCCCCAAAAATAGTTGATTTAATACCAGCATGAAGAACTATTTTGCCATTTATGCCACTAAAAGTTTAAAAGTTTTTAAAAAGTGAGTGTACTTTTTACCAAGACAACAACAGAGTTACTGAAGTGCTTGAGATGAAATGTGAGACGTGGGATGTTTGAAGAAACACGTGAAGCGCTAGCTGCAAAATCAGCTTCAGCACAACAGAGGAGCCGGATACTTTATTAAAATAATGTCTCACAAGTTCACCTGCTCATGTAATTATTGGGTGTAATAAACGTAAACCGATTTGGCTTACTGTCCAAGACAGACAGCACAAACTTGACTTAATCATTACTAAAACTAGTAATAAAAGAATAGAAATATTATTTGATGGCCAGAAGAATTACTGAGATAAGGAGCTGTTTCTATATTTAAGACTCCATTTAACACGTCATTTTCACCACAGCATGCTATTAAAAACAACACAGCATTAATGTAATAAAATGGCCCATGTTGTATCATAAAAAAATCATATTCTGTCCACAACTGGACATTGTCAGTGAACAAATGAAATAAAGCAGTAAACGTGTGAAAAGAGCTGAAGAAACACATTGCATGTTTTTAAATGAAAGGGTCACTTAAACAAACACATCAGTGACCCTCAAAAACAGGACAGAGCATCAGTCGTTGAAAATTAATAACATGAAATCATAACTGTACTATCATGCCTGATAATAACTGAAATCACATCTGATGATAACAGTGAAAGCATATCCGATCATGAGACTGATATGATATCTGATAACAACATGGAAATCTGAAGTGACTGTCACCTTTGTCTCTGCTCCGGTTTGTCTCCTGCAGCGCGCCGTATGTTTTCATCGTCGCTTCGCTTTCAGAAATGGCTTTCTTTAACTCCATAGTAGATGTTGATGTCACAGATCTCGGATTTCGTTGATTTTGTCGCTTTCTCGTCGCTGTAATCACGCTGATCTGCGCTCATCCGCGGAACCGAACAACATCATGACAGAATGAAGCTACGTGACGTCACCGTGATGAGGGATGCAGAGCGCATGCGCACAAAGGATGACACCAGAAAATAAAGTTCTGCAAAATCTGCATTTTATAGCCTACCGTTCACATCTAAACCAGTGACATTATTAATAATAATCATACATTATTGATTGGTTTAGTATGCTTGTGAGTGTGGCTGATATTTTTGAGAACATGCGCTTTACAGAAGTTCCTCATTTCAAACTCTGCGTTCCGTTCCGCTTCGATCGTGTGAACGCCTCCTTTAAATGAAGACACTATGAATGCTGCTCGAGTAAAAAGTGGTCCATTTCAGCTTCTTCTGCAGGATTTAACATCTAACCGACGGTCTGAACACTAGGCCTGTTCATTCATAAACTAAGCATCAGTCATGAACCTTACAGTAAACAATAATTACACATTACTCATTCATTAACAGTAATGAATATAAATAAGTGTTGTGCTCATTTAGTTCACAACAGTTGTACATTGTACCCAAACAATTATCCATTACATAATCTGAAACAACAAATGTCTAAAAGTTATCCTTAACATGGTTTTATTCTGTTAACATATCATTTACAGTAAATACAGAATACACGGTACCATATTTGTAGCTGATTAATTCATTTGAATTAAAAAAAGATTATGAAGGTATTCAAGACATTTACAGTTTGCTAAACAACAAGCACCAACCTATAGAATACATTTTAAACAATTTCATTGCACTGGACCAGCTGTAGAGGGCAAATCGAAAAAAATGTGCCATAAGATGGACGAAAATAGAGTACTAAAAGTAGCATAAAGAAAAATATATGTTTGAACCATGAATTAGCTGCTTCGTACACAAATATATTGGAAATACTAGCATTTAAACAAACATAAAACATGTTTCCATAAAATGACAGATCACATTAACAAGGCACCGCAGGCAAAACATAGCATCAAATACAAACAGAAACATGCACGTGACCAAACTAACTAGTGATCATTCATTTATAATTCTGAAGGCTAATTAGAAAAATACTGAAATACTAAATAAACCCGTCAGACACACAATACATGCACAAATAAATACATACATTTATTAGCAAAATAACGATGTGTCAGGAACTGTGTGACCAACACAAAGAATTAAATATAACTGATGTCTTTAAAAAACCTTTCCGTGTTTTAAAAAGGAAACCTTAAAAATGAAAATTGGATCTGCAGCAAGTACAGACTGGTCATAAAATAATCTCTGTGTGTTTTGCAGACGTGACAGTGTTTTAAATAAAAAACGGACAGACTGGAGGAGCGTCATTCAGCTGTCCTTTCCTTCGTTAGTGCTGGACGCCTCGAACCCAGTCTCCAGAAGCAGAGGCACGGGGCCCAGATGAAGCCACAGCGGAGGAACCAGCCCATGACCGTCTGCTGCAGAAGAGACGGATTTACCTGCATGCCCGGCCAGTACATCACACAACCTCCTCCTTCCTCATTAATAACTACAGACGCATAGCGAGGGAGTGTGATGCTGGAATAGCGCTCAGATCTGGACCTCCGCGTCAGCTCAGACTCACCGTCTCCCTCCAGTCCTGCAGAATCTCCTCTCTGCGCTGCATGAAGCTCACACCTGCGCAACGACACGCGACTCACCTGAGCTCACCTGTGTACAAGGCGCTGATGGCGAGCGTCTGGTCCAGCAGCACCGGCCGCAGCGCGTTACAAAGAAATGGAAGTTTCCGTGAAAACCGAACGCGACTACGACCACATTTCTCGTGTGAGCCCAGTCCACTCGTTCTTTACGCGAGAAGCGCTGGTGAACGAAGTCTCCGCCCGCGAACAGGCAGCCGTACAGCGTCACGTTGGTCGCCGGGAAGCGTCTGACGGGCGTCAGCAGCGCGTCGCGCATCTCAGCGGCGTCCTTCCCGACTGACAGCCACAACAACGAGCCGCGAACAGTTCACATATGGACTGACTCTCAGCGCTGCTGCGTGATCTGTCTATCTATGT